ATTGCAAGGAAGACTTTTTGTTCTGGAAACTACTTTTTCTATTTAGCAGTGGAATAAACTGTTCTCTGCAATGGCTACACTCATACATTTGTTGGAGCTATATGTATTCATTGACTGGACCCAACAGAGTGCTGGAGGAAGTATTCTGTTCACACATGTGCTAATGTGGAAGGATTTCTGCATGACAGATTTCTAGATGTAGAACTTCAGTTTCAAACTGTATGCTGGCATTTTATTTTAGAAGGTTATTTTGTATTATACTCCCTCAAAAATAGATTTCTCAGGTTTTTATAGGTTGCAAATCTCTATAGCATTAATTTATTGGCATTGTTTCTATTTTCCTGAGCACCAGTTACTTTATAATCATTTATATGTTTTTGGCAATTTTTACTTTGAAGTGCACATTTATATTTACATTAAGTTTTATATTGGAATATTTCTCTTTTTTGGTTGGTGATTGTAGTACTTACTAAACAATATATAGCCATCTTTTAAGTGTGTTGTAGAATAGGTTTAATGTGAATTAATTCAGGCTTATAAGAATGATAAAACAACATTATTAACCTTTGCCACCTTATTATTCCTGCTTTTCTGTATCAATACTTGGATGATTTGTATAAAATATTCTGTTGTAAACACTTTCTATAATTTTTTTAACATCAGTGTTTTAGTGTATGTGTGTTTGTGTATGACATGAATCATATATATACATATACAAGTACAAATCTATATATTTAGCAATCTATATATAGTGATATATATGTGTGTATACACACACACACACACACATATATATAGTGATATGTATTTAAATCATGCCTTAGGCTCAAGAATATTTGTTGGGAAACTTGTTTAATGATGAGACTTCTGGTTAACAAAGACACCTGGGTTTCTGTCAATCTGGACCACTTTGATCATAAAGTACTTCACTGATGTGCAGATTAAAGGTGTATGGCTTAATTTAGCTATTTTCCACAAAATGTATACACTTTTTGTATTCTTTGTATATATCTTTTTGTTATGCTAAAAATTTAGTGTTGTCATATTATATTTATAGGAGGGGAGGATCAAAAGACTGTGTGTGGAAAAGAGCAAAAAATTAGACATGATCATTTAAAGTATAGTTAGGTAGAATAATAATTATTATTTCAAACTGTCTTCAATAAACACATTGAATTTCCCAACATACCTATTAGATAGTAAAGTGATGCTTTGTCTTGTTTCAAAAGAAATGGACATGTATATATGCATATATGTTTAGCAAGATTGAAAACTGACTAAGTCCCTTTAGAATGCATTTCCTATATTATCACAAACTAAAATTAAGAACTTACATTTGCTATGAAAGGTCAAAAATGAGAATAAAACCAATATGAAATTTAGGATTGTTTTTTCTAGCTCTGTTAAGAATGATGATGATATGTTGATGAGAATTGTACTGAATTCATAGATTACTTTTGGCTGTATGGTCATTTTCATAAAATTGATTCTACCCATCCACGAGCATGGGAGATATTTCCATTTGTTTGTGTCTTCTATGATTTTTTTTGACAGTATTTTGTAGTTTTCTTAGTGGAGGTCTTTCACCTTCTTGTTTGAGTATATTTCTAAGTATTTTATGTTTTGTTTTGTTTTTTTTTCCTTTTTGAATCAACTGTCATGAAAAGGGTTGAATTCTTGATTTGATTCTCAGATTGAAGTCTGCATAGCCAAAGCAAGACTAAGCAAAAAGAAGAAATCTGAAGGTATCACATTCCCCAACTTCAAACTACTACAAGGCTCTAGCTACTGAAACAGGGTGGCACTGGTATAAAAACAGGCATGTCGACCAATGAACAGAATACGGAATCCAGATATAAAGCC